TTTTTGAAATAATCACATTTTTTAAATTCCAAAATCTTAAAAAAACAAAAACCTGACGTCAGAGAGAAAAACTAAGTACGCAGTTTTACTATAATTTACCCATAGTTTCGCGAATATATTAATTTTTTTGTGTGTAAAATTTACTGTCGCACGGTGTTATAAAAGTCGTTTCCCCACCTAGGACTACTACCAAAGAAGTTCAAAACTGTGCCCGAACTGGTCCCCAAATAGTCCCGAACTGGCGCCCAGCTCGTCCTGACCATTTAATAGACAAAAAAGTGGTACCTAAATGCAGACGTATTGCTCTGGCCAGTGTTGGAAAGTAATAAATATGGAACGTGAAGACAAAGCGAAAATTTATCCCAGAGCGGGCCGTGGTTACAAACTGGTGGGGTAGTGACGAAAGATTTGATTATGCATTAGGAACCCTCATCTACACAAAATACAATTTTTCGAATTTTTCTAAATTTGGCATTTTATGCGTGCTACAATTGCGTTTGTTTTTAAGTACGTTAATCATTTATGCTAAATTTAAGCACATTGTTTATATTGAAATTATTTTTCTGTTTTTTTTTTCTGCCGCCTATACATACATCCATATGTGAAAAACTCGCTCATTACCTCATTCTATAAACTGCCGTTGATTTTCTTATTTCTCTCATTTACTTTTACGTTTGCTGCTCATTTGTTTACAAAGTAATATTTTTGTTTACTTAAAATTTTGCGAAATTTTCTTATACCACGAAAACACTTCACCGCACAAAAATCATTTATATACTTTTAGACATTACTAATGTGACCAACTATTTCAAAACTCAAAGAAGTACAGGTTAGGTTGGGTTAGGTTAACGCCGAGAGCCGATTGCCAAATTTCGAATGCGGCTAGTTTCTATCCCTGAGAGCTCACAACGCACGGGGTGTGTTTTAATATTGCGAATATGTATGTATAATATGGCGTATATGTATTAAAACACCCCCCGTTGGTCTGCCACTGACTGACACGTAGTTTAACCCTCAAAACGCCCCGCTGGATCCGCCCCTGCACTCGTTACTTGCGCTGCAAAAAGTATTTTAAAGTGTCTTATAAAAATATTTGTTGCAGAAGAGAAACGTCTTATTTTCCTATTTATGTCGAAAGAGGAGCATCGCTTTCTTCAGTCCATTTTATTAGGTATTTAGTAAAGTATACAATTTCATTATCGCGAGTACGAAGTATGCGTGTTAGTCTAGCGCTCGCCGAGCTCACATTAGGTCCAACCATCCCAGAGTGTACCGTAGGAGGACAGAGGCGTCCCTAGTTGCTCCTTATCTGGAGATAACGTTTTAAGGGTGCCTTTCCAACATCAGGTCATCAGCCGCGCAGTTTTCCGCGATCACAGTGACAGAGCAACTAGAATAAGTACCTAAGAAGTACTCTGACGCGATGGATAAAGAAGTCAGATATTCCTTTAACGATTTCTAACGCATCGACACACCCTTTAGGAGTGAGCCTACCGCTTCCTTGATGGCAGCTATTTCCACCTGAAAGACACTGCAGAAGTCTGGAAGCCTTAATAACCCCGACCTACCCAGTCCTATCTTGAGGGAAGACAGGTAGAGGAGGGGCTTCTGGGAAGTATTTCCGAGACGCTATGTGTTCAGGGCGAAGTCAAAGCCACCCAGCACTCTAGAGTATTGCCACCCGGTTTCCCTTAGCCTAATAGCGTGCTTGTACAATTCTGTCTGCAATATCCTCAGGCGCCGTATTTAACATGACGTTAAGCGCCAATATAGGTGTGGTTATTAATACTCCACTAATTCCTAATTTACAAGTAAAGCTTTCTCCAGACAAGGGCTCCGTGAAACAAGCTAAGCTTAAATCTGGTTCCATGGAGCTAATAAATTACTTTGGGCGAGAGACCTTACCTTTTACTCAATGTTAGGCTTCCCCGACAGCTTCCTATACAGGATCAAGCCTAAGTACTTGACCCTGTCGGAGAGCCGCAGACGAACAACCTGACTCGAGGGAAGGGCAACAGCGGGTATCTTGTACTTCCTGGTAAACAAGACCAGTTCCGTTTTGCAGGAATTTACTGCGAGGCCGCCGTTGATCGCCCACCTAGTTATCTGCAACAGGTAACCTTGAGGCACAAAAAAGGGGTGTACAGGAATCGGCCTCTAACCAGAAGATCATTATCTACATAGGCGATCACCCGACATCCCCCTTTTTCCAGTTCCTCTAGAAGGTCGTTTACAACCGCAATGGAGAGCAGGTCAGGGAGAACACCACTACTCCGCCGCGACAGTTCTGTCACAAAGTAAGCTGTAGATAAGCCTTATTAGGTTAGTTTCAACCCCCAGATTATGAATAGACTTGACTATTGCCTCTGGAGTGACATTGTTGAAGCCCCCTCGATATCGAGAAGGCCCCTACTGCGTGAAGGCTGCCTCTGACCACTTTAGCAATGTGAGCAGCGTGGTATCCACCGGCCTTTCGATAAGCATGTTTGAGCTCTTGAAAGATAGTCACGAGGTCTATCCATCTCTATAGCGGATGACAGACTTACAGGCCTAAAATCCCTAGGACAAACATAAGAGGTTCTTCCGGCATTCGGGATGAACGCAACACCGACTACCCTCCAGGCCTTGGGGATGTACCCGGTGCTCACGCAGTTCGCAAGTATAATACCATCGGTCACCGTAGACTTTAATGGTTTGAACGAATTTATCGCCCAGGCCATGTGACGATCGTCCAGAAGATCGGATAACTACAGGACCTGAAGTATAAAATATTGCAAAGAAGTACATTTGACTGTACATCGATGTACGAAGTACAAGAGCTAAAAAAAAAGTACTATACTTCCGAAAGAAATACGGTTGGTCACATTAGGTATTACAAATGCATGTATGTAAACACTTTCGTTGGTTAACCAAAGTGTGCACATTTTTCATTGACAACATGCATTTGCACATACATACATACATATAGCATATACATATGTAAGTTTACATTAAATACACCAATTTATTACCTCTGAACAAACATGCATACAGTCATACATATGTATACATATTTACATTTGATTTATTGTTTACTTTAGAATATTTTGCTTCTTTTTTTTTGAACGAATTATAGGCATTTTATTTTTAATCATTTACTTGTAAATACTTACATACATACTTAGTACGTACCATCGCTGCGGTTATTTTGGAATTTTGTGCAATCAAATTAGCATTTAGTTCAAGTATGTATAAGCAATATATTTGGTTAATAATAAACATAAATAGGGGCAATATAAACTAAAACGCACTTATTGTTCGAGGGATATAAAATTGTGTGAAGGATGCACACCTGCATGCAAATAGAAGAAAATGCAATATATAATGTATTTTTCAAATTGAGAGGTTGAAACTTTTTTCGTTTTTTTAAACTTTGGAATCGTCTTTCTCGTCTCAACATATTAGTATAATAAAAAATATAAAAAATGTTTTTTTTTTTTTTAATATACCCGTTGGATTTAACATGTTTTTTCGAATAACACTATTTTTGACCAATTTTTTTAAGGTCAAGGAGTAATTGTGGCTCAGTGGCAATATTTTTTCGTGAAAGGCAATTACATTAGCTTTCAAAGCCATTTTGTGTCATATCAAAATATTGCTTCTGTCGCAAGCGATACCATTAATTCGCATAAAGTGTTAAAAAAGCACACTGTGTGCCGTTGAGTTAGCTCGAATATCTTATTTCTCAGTCGAGAAATATAATTTTTAAATTGTCAAATTACTACGGTATATTTTTCTCAATAACATATGACTCAAAACATTTGATATATCAAAATAGCTCTGTGAAAAATCCTGTAAAACTGTCAAACAGCAAAATTACTCTCTGAAGTGAGAGTAAAAAGTGAGTAACAACAAAAAGTACGGGAACAAAAAATCCATTTTTCCTGTAAAAACGTCAACCAGTGATTGCTTGACACTTTTCATGATTTTACCAGAAGAAAAAGTTCGGGTAAAATCTTGCAACTTCATTCTCTACACAACTCTCCAAAAGTCGCTCTCATTTACAGGATTTTGGAGGATTTTGGAGTACGGGAACATTTTTCATGCAACTTCCTGCAATTTCGTGTAAAATCCTGTAAGTTCATGGAGTACTGGATCAGAACTAATATAATTCAATTATAACAGCGATGGGCAGAGAGAGCTTTTACTTTGCACGCGCCCATACAAAATGTGTAGAAAGCTCAAAAGTACTTTGCCCGCGGGCAAGGCGGTGCCCATCGCCGATTTATAAACAATATATAATATAATAAAATAAAATGTCNCCAGAGAGAGATTTTACTTTGCACGCGCCCATACAAAATGTGTAGAAAGCTCAAAAGAACTTTGCCCGCGGGCAAGGCGATGCCCATCGCCGATTTATAAACAATATATAATATAATAAAATAAAATGTCTATCATACTTGGGCGTAGAAAATTTTTGATTCTTATTGCCAGGGTATTCTTCTGAAAATTTTCAAGGCAACTGATCACATAGAAATAATTATCTTAATCTGGACAGCCTTAAACTTTAATAAGTAAAAACATTTATTTGTTTGGTTTTTTTTAATAATCACTTTTTGTTTAACTCAAATTTGTTCGACCGAAAATTTCAAACTATAACATGTTGATCGAACTATATATCGTTACCTTAACAACTAAGGCCCTATCTAAAATTCGTGTGTCTTTACAGACTAGTTACAACATTTTATAAAAACTCGAAATTCTTAAGTTGGGAATTTATTCAAAATCCCGGGTTTTGTCAATATCGAAACTAGTTTATTGATGCAGTAGATGTTTTTAAATTCTCTTAGGCCTTTAGTGAGTAATCTACCGACCTGGGCACAAAGAAAAATTTCGAAAGAAAATTAGTTAGGTCGTTTCTATATTAAGATAACGATCGAAAAATAAAAATATTAAAATAGCATATTTTTTAAATTATTAATGCATATGTATGGGCCCTTGCATATTTTAAATACACTTACCTATATTTCCACTTCCGTAACACGTGAATGCCAATTACCAGCAACATAACGCTAACAACGGTACTCAAACGCCATTTGAAGGCACTAATACTGCAAATGTCTGTATTCAAGTTTTGAGGAATTTGACTTAAATGGTCACAATGTAGTGTGAGAATCATTTTTTCGAGTCGATAAGATTTTTATAATATATTTATATATATGTTTTTAATAAGGTTGTTTGGTTTGTTTATTTTATTTTTTTTAACCGACTTCACAAAAAGGAGAAAGTTATCAGTTCGTCGGAATTTCTTTTTTTTTCATGTATGTCAACGCATAACTTTGGACCACGTTAACCGATTTCTATAACTTCTTAAAGGAAAGGTGTTACCTCGCAGGTGGTCCCATATTAATTTGGTTTAAATCTGATCATGGGATCGTGAAGAAATTAACGATAATCTTAAATTCTTATACGTGAATTGAAGTTGGTTTTGTTTTTTACTTAAAAATTACATGTTTTCTATTACATTTTTTGGTGATTTGAGATCTTCAATTTAATAGTTTAATACTGTCTAGTCTTACTTCAAACTTTCGTTACTATTTTGTTGGAAATTTGTTTTTTTTGTTTTATTTGTGCTGGAGATTACGAATTATACACATCGAACTGGCAGTTGAGCAAATACACAAAGCAGATTGTTGCAAATTTTTTAATTTATTTTTTGTTTTACAACTATAAAACACATAATTGTATGCAATTTGAAATTTTGCAGATATACCAAATAATATTTTCATATAAATTTATGAATTCACACACCCGCACACTCCTACGAAATTTTTAATTTTTGCTGATTTCCAGAGACGTATAGTGCCACCAATTGTTACTGGCGGCTGCCTGCTGATCGCTAAAATCTGTGTGTTTGTATAAATACTAATATACAATCACTCTGACATGTGTACAATTGTATATACAAATGCACATACTATATTGGAATTCGCTAAACATTTGTTTATTTTTACTGAATAAACAATAAAACACAAAAATTTTTTGGAACTTGCTTGTTTTTGTGTCGAAAAAATTTAATTCTAAAATGATCTTCACTAATTTCTTTACTGAAATTCGCGTGCGTTTCCGCCGATCGCCGCGGCACATCTGACCGGAGGCAACCAAAGATTTTTAAAAATGCCACCACGCAAAGCACTCAGTTGAAGATACATTCGAGAGTGGCTGAAGATGTGCGCGTGCATAGAATGGGTATCTCCGAGATATAATCGCAGCTACCGAAAAAAAAACAAGTCTACAAGTGTATGTACGTACATTCATACGTATGTGCATACTTACGTACATACATATTTACATACATACATATATATCGCACTTTCGTTACACAGATGTCAGAAATCATTTATAAAGCTTTCGTTCTGGTGATCCTCGCATTAGCGAGTGTCAGGATCATATTCTCTTTTGTTCATATATGTCCATTCAAATGGATATGTACATAAGTTGTTACTGTTGTTGTTGTAGCGGTACTGCTAAGCCCCGCCTAGGTGGTTTATTCATAAGTCAACGCATAAATACTAGTAACATTGGGGATTATTTAAATATCTACATACATACATAAATATGTATGGATACGGTGACCATCCGTCCTGTTTTTTGCAGGACCGTATTGTTATATAAAAGATTGCCTGCGTGGTTTTTCAAAACGGAAAAACTTGAAAATGTACTGATTTTTGTTCTGCCTTTGCCTGCATTTCATTCGATATTTTAAAATAACTGACGTTAGCCCCTTTCTGATCAAAATATAAGCAATGCCGAGAACTGATTGATAACTACATACATAATTGTGTGGGGCTGGCTTTGAAGCTTTAATTTTGAGCGGCCACGGACAATGGATGACGAAGAACAGCATCAAAGATATCAGTAACTTCATTTTCGTTGTTGGTGTTTCCGACAGGGTAGGAGTGTGATGTAATGTGGAACGATTTTCCGTCATCCTTTGTCAAATTTGTCAAATTTCGTTCTCGAAAAATGACACTGAAGATGGCACAACGCCGAAACCGGTTTGTCTTCAAACCAAATTTGACAAGGGATGACGGAAAATCGTTCCACATTACATCATATCAGTAACCCTCTCTACAAAGAAGCATTTTCGAGATTTTTTCTAAAAAATTGGTTTTTTTGTAAATTTCGGAGCTTTTTATCAATATCCCATAAAGAAATCATATATATATATTTGTAATGGGCACATCAATACCTTTCGAACTGTAAGTCTTTAACGTCCATTCATGACATATTAAGAGTGTTCGCTATGCAAAAAAAAATTGTACAAGTTACCAAATCGTACAATTGTACAATTGTTACCAAATCGTGTTTGTTTAGCCAAAAACCCAGTAAAACTTGCAAGGAGAGAGCACAATTTTGAGGGGAAGTTGCAAATTCGTGCTGGGATATAGGAAAACCGACAGTGACTTCCACAAAGAAATTGAATACTATGTTGAAGAAAGTCAGAATAAGAAGAATTATACGTACATATAGGTCCTGTTTTGTTTTCCACCTGAAATAATTTAAAAAATTTATTAGGCTCGAAATGCAACCGTGAACTTCGGCTGGCAGTGAAGCTTGCAAATGTTTGCTAATTCCTGTTCGTGCAAAACTTAGTAAGTTTCTCTCTTAGGGAGAGTAAGATACCTTATTCTCTGAATTTTTTTACTGGCTAATTCTTACTGGCATTTGCATAGCGAACAGAACTATTGACGAATAACTGCAAAGAGTCTTCGACCCAGTAATCAAAAAAGTAATCAACTTTGAAAAAGTAGACTGCCATAAAGTCGTTTAAGCCCTACAAATCTCTGTGGCCAGACGGCATATTCCCGGCACTACTTTCGAATGGTACAAACAAAATTAGTTAAAAATTGGTTACAATCTTTAGAACTTGCTGACACTGGAACATGTTGCTATTAGCTGGAGGGCAGTCAAAGCAATCTTTTTACTAAAGGGAGAGAATAAACCGCCATATTATCCAAAATCCTACAGGCAAATTAGCCTTTAATCTTCAATGCAAGACATTGGAAAAACTACTGGATCACCACCTAAGAGAGGAGATACTATCTAGATATACTTATCAAAAAGGCAAATCATCCATTGCGGCACTTCACGCTATTGACAGTGCTAGCTTCAAATGCACGAAGTGGCACTATCCAATAGAGGTGCTAGTCCCAAATGTACCACAATCAAGGCGAACCTAGAACCGGAAGAACTCAGCGTCACTGCAGTAAAAGGCTGTCCACAGGGGGGAGTGTTAGCTCCAATAAATAAATAAAATGTATTTACTTCTAATGTTTACGACATACAACAATACGACACTTACGACACAGTTGTGAATCCCTCAATTGATAATACCCTTCCCAAAATTTACTGAGCGAAACGAAAATTCATAGAACTTCAGTGTGCAAGCATACAAGGGTATAATTAGTATGGGGTATGAATTTATGTACTATGTAATAAGTAATACTCATAAAATTGTAATGACAAATATTAAATTCTTAGAAGCTATAAAAATAATCGCATTTATCACATATAGCACAGAGATTGTTGGCAGCTGAATCGTCTGTTTTGACCATTACATTAACGACACTTTGTGGCTCCAGATAGAAAGTGAGGTTGGCGTCACACCTCTGTCCGTGTAACTCTATTTGAGTATGTAGTATTTTATGTAATTCGAAGGGTTTTGCGGAAAAATTAAAGCTAAATTAAATTTTAAATAAATCAATCAAAAGGTATGTATGTATGTATGTGCATAACTTTTGACTTACTGTACACCGCATTTGCAATTAAAGAGTGTGCCGCTTTCTTGCTTTTTATCCGAAGAAGTGGAAGAAAGGTTTCTTTGTTGGCAAATGGGGCATATTATAGATGCATTGTTGTTATCTGCATCAGCTGCGTCTATCAATGATGCCTCCTCTGCTTCTAATTCTTGAACAAACCATTCGTTCATTTCATTGCGCAGTTCCATGTAAATCTCTTCCTGCAACTTCAAATCGCTTTCCAAGTTAGCAAGTTCCTCGCGCAACAATTTATCAAGATCGAGCTGCATATATACTAATGATTTAAAACAAACAACCAACAGTAAATACACTACCAAAACTTACTTCTTCAGTTATATCAGCCAGTCGTCTTCTGCTAAAGTTGGCTTGTCTTGCTTCACGCACCCTGAGCCGACATTTCTAAATTAAATATAGAAATTATAGTAAAAAAGCAATCATTGTATTCGTACTTGCTTACTAACATTTCGCAATTGATCTCGTATTTTTGGTGATCCATAGCGATACACTTTGGCGGCATTTCTTGAATGTATTTTCTGTTCCACACTTGTTCGATATACGGGGCTTGTAGGACACTCCAGCGACATGTTTTTATATTTTGACCAATTTATTCGCCTCTGAGCAACGCTTTTTGGAAACAAATTTATATTAATCATTAAAACTAGTTTCAGTTATTTCAGCAGTTTTCATTAGGTAAATAAAACAGCTGTTTTTGGCGGTTTGGCTAAAGTCAAAACTTTGTTTTGGGATCAAATGCACTTGCAAAAATCGGTTCGGGACTTGGTTTTGGGATCAATCGAATAAAAATAACACCCCAGCAAGAACACTGTCGGGTAAATACCGAATCGTAAAATCGCCTCTTTCGCAACCGAATTTTACCGAGTGAGGACGTAAGAGAGAAAAATGGAAGAAAACCAAACCTTTTTTGTTGTGAACCAGTCATGTTTGCATAATGTATAGCCATGATACTAATATTTAATATTTATTTTTTGTATCATGATGTATACCAAAATGGGAAAAGTAGCTAATAAAAATGAACACGGTAAGAATGAAACGTAACTAGCCATATAAGTTAAATAATAAACAGTTTTATGCAATTATTTACCAAGGTGCGTTCATGAAAGAATGCGGATAAACTGATAAATTTAAGCAATTTATCCCTTTATCACTTTATATGAAGAACCCTACTAATGAATTGCTGACGTGGGTTGGGTGAAAAAACTACG